ATGTTTGCTACCTTAAAATAGTGTCTTCTCAAATTTCAAAGTACAGAATTATAAAAATTTTAAAGATGAAAATGATTAAGAAAATAGTAGGGTCAACACTTTAATCAAGTCCACACTTCAAATGGGACCAACTTTACAAATCTAGTGTTCATCCTTATAACCGTCTTTGATGTATTCATCCTGCCAGTTAACATATATTCATAAACATGACATCCATTTGGTTTTTCTAGTGTATACTTTTACTTAATTATAATTTAAATATTCATTTCATTCCATATACATGTGCATATATACATGAAACTCTCTGGTTGAATAAACTCTTGAAAGGGGGGATTCTGGCTGTCGCTATATTTTTCCATGAACACAATCTGCAACATATGTGAAACTGCTGAAGCCACAGTGATCGAGACCCAGTTAGAGAAAAGTTCTTCTCCTCTGGTGGCTCTTAATCTTGGCTGCACACTAGGGTCACCTGGGAGCTGTGAAAGCAGTTGATGCCTGGGTCTCAGCTTCTTAGCTTCTGGTTTAATTGCTCTGGCATGTGTCCAGGGTGTGAGGCATTTTGAATGCTCCCTCATGATTCTAATGTATAACTAAGATTAAAAACCGCTGTTCTACAAAAGGGCTAAAGCAAAGATTAAGGATCATCGATGCTAAAGTGCAAACTATAATTAGAAGCAGTCCCTTGGAGAATGATTTCTTTTCTCTACAGGCTTTGATATCCACACAACCCCCTTTAGTATGAAGTCATTGGAGAAAACAAACAACCAACAAAGTACCCCAGTATGATGAGTGTTTTCCAAAAGTTTTGCCATCAGTTCATGATGCAGGTTTGAAACTCCACCTGTGTGTCCTCCGCTTCTTAGATGGTTTCAAGCACCCTTCCAAAGTCATCACCCGAGAGGTGCTAGTTTTGGGAGGAAGAGGAGAAGGAGAAAGAAGGGCTCATCTATTAAAGACAAATGTCACTGAGTACATGACAAGGAAGTAGTACATAAGAAAAGAGCAAGAAGAATTAAGATGGGGACAGGGGACATGGCTGCTGTGTTACTACAAATTTCCATGCATAATTAACACCAATCTTGGATTATGTGCTGAGATCATGTAAAGGTCTGTGTTTTTGTGGCCTGTATCAGGGTTAGGCCCCATTATCTGCTTTACATATTGGAATAAGATAAGGTAACTATCAGGCAAATTGGCTCCAAGTTAATTGGGGCTCTCAGGTATGACCTGCATCAGTCCCTACCCACGGGAGTGAATGGGGCAAAGGACAGATTTCAGTTCTCCTAGTAGGCCAGGCCTCTGAAAGACTGGGTGTTCATAGCCATATTTCCAGATGAAGGAGAAAAGCAGCAAGTTACAATTCAACCATAGAACTCTTTGAGAGGCTGGGAGTTAGAGGTAGAAGTTTTTTGCACATGATGAAATACATAGGCACGGACTTTACAACCATGTACAGGGAAAAGGTTTGTATGCTCCTTTCTAACACTATATGTATAATTTACACACATTGTGTGCAAATCCTTCTGGAAGTTCTTCAACCCAAGAGAAGCATTTAATCAGCAGTCATTCTCAAGGGTCTGTAATTGATGCAAGGCCGCTCTATGATTGTCTAAGCTGACCTGGAATGGGTTATCCTCTTGGCTCCATATGTTGAGTGCTAGGATTACAGATTTGCACCACTAAACATACCTTCATAGTGATTTTTTAAAAGCAGTAACTCTTTATTTGTAAGAGAATAAAGTGAAACGATGTTGTAATGAAGAGATGTAGGTCAACACCTGTACTACATGTGTTTATATTTTATTTAAAATCTAATCCACAGACTGGAATTTTTTATTGAAATTTGGTCTATTGATAAAGATTGGAAGAATATTTGTATTTTCTCCTCAGCAGATTCATATGGAGGTGTAAAAACAAGACTGTGCCTGACACAGCTTATGAATTCATTAAGTGTCAATGATGGTTAGTAAACGTTGGTGTTAAATTTTAGGAAACTTTAGCATACCACCTTATATAAAATAGGTTCTCTGAAGCTTTGTGATTGATGGTCATTTATGACATTATGAAAGTCACTGATCCTGTAGAATGTGCTAGTTTGTCAGGAGTTCCTGTCAATGAAAAGGATCTCACTTTCCTTCCTCAATTCCCAGTTATAAGACACAGATGGAGTTTGGCATGGTTGCAGGCATAATTACAAGACCTGATTCAGTTACAGACCAGAGAGGAGGGGAGGCCAAGCTTGACTGCAGTCCAGGCTCAAAGCAGTGAACTCCCAGAGAGCGCAGATTCAATTATGTAGGGGAGGCGCCTGCCAGCTCTGCTTGTATTACTGCGCTTTTGAGACTCCTACCTGCAGTGGAATGCCTGCTGGCGGTTACAGTTGATAAACCAAGTAGGAGTGTCCTGCTGTGGAGGGAGCGAGGCCTTCCACAGGGACCCACTGTTGGCAACTGGTGTTCCGGAGCTACTGCACAGGGCTGGGGTTTTGTCACCTTAAAAAGACCAGGGCTGGCAGCTGTCTCAGGTCCAGTTTTCTCCTATTTTAGACTGACTGGGCAGTGGGCTCCTAGATCTGGATATGCTCTGAGGCTACAGGTCTGTGGGAAGCCTCTTTGGCTTGTAAAATAGAGGAGAGGGTGGTTGTTCAAATGCCATTCACACTACAGTGATAATAGATTTGAAAATATAAAGAGGATTACAGCTTTTAGGATTAGCATAGGATTAGTCTAGTTCTTTCTTCAATACTAAAGACACAATTGTGAAAGTAAAAAAAAAGTGGATACAGTCCTAAATGAAAATATAGCTAATAATTCTATAGAGGTGTAATTCCCATAAGGGACTCTGCATGAGCAGCTTATGGTCATGATTAGCATTAATGTTTCTAAGCTGCCACCAATGGCTACAGGTGGCCCCTGTGACAGTAGTCCTGATTTCTGGCTGATGTGCAGTATGAGTTTGGGAAGTTCATACTCAGAAATGAAATAGTGGCTTGGAAATGTTCCTGGTTATTAACCTTTGAAAAGAAGATTGCTCATCAGCATTTCATTAAACCTCTCTCACTAATGTAGCCTTCTTATTTACTGATCATCTGTCCTTATGTGATTCCCCACAGGCAAAGGTTTAGGAGCATTTTTAGTCTATTCTTTGCTCCACATTAGCACAGAATCTTCGTTTATTGTGAGGACATTGAGATCCACAGACAGAAAGAATGTTGTTTGGAGTGCACAAGCAATTTCTACTATTGTTAGGCCTAGTCTTTGATTGCTAATGAGGACACTGGGGTGGGGTGGGCATCTTTGACAAAGATCTTGACAACAGATATCCACGATTCTGAATCTTGAAATATGTAGTCAGGAATTATATTAGCAATAAGAGAGTGGTGCCATATAGGATCATTATCGTTATAAACTAATGTGTAAGACTTTTAAATCACACAAATGTGGCCCCAAATTGTATTGCTATGTGTGCATGGCCTGTGAAATGCCTGCATAAATGACTCAGCCTCACCAAACCTTAGTTTACTCTGTCCTAAAGTAGGAACAGTGTAAATACCAATGATAGCATTATTGTTAGTATTAAATAATACTATTATCAGAGAACAATAAAATTTCACTAAATATACTTATTTTTTGTTACTATAAGCATCAAAATGAAAGGTTAGAGGAAGCTGGCACTAGGTAGAATTAAAACACCTGCTTCATTTAAAAAACTTTTATGCTTAGTGTGTGCACGATGTAGGTGTGTGTGTGTGTGGGGGGGGGCACAGGGCACAGGTACAGGGCAGAGGACAACTTCATGGAGTTGCTTATTTCCTTTATGTGGTTCAGACTCAGGCCGCTAGGCTTGTGTGGCAAATACCTTTACCTACTGAGCCATCTTGACCCAGAACATCTATTTTTTATAACAGTTCTTGGAAATTTCAATGTATTTACAAAGAGGATATTTTTAAAAGAGGATTCAGATGGATTCAGGAATATACTATTTGGGGCCAAGGAGAAATTGAGTTTTACTGGCTGTAATTATGGACAGAGTCAACTTTAGTTGCTGACAAATGCCACAGTAATAGAAAGTCTTTCATACACATAATACTCATCGTGTTTTTTGTTTTTTTTTTTTTTCTTTTAGAGGTTTGGCCTCACCATTCTCTTTGTTTTAGCTATTTTAATTTTAGTTTCCTCTTTAAGTTGTACTGAGAATTGGTGGTAGGGTATTAGGGGTCAGGTAAATACTCACAGCAAAAAAAGAACAGTATGGATCAAACACACAGACAAGATTTACTGAGGGGCACAAGAAAGAGAATGGGGATTGTCATTGCGTGGTTTTATAAATAGGTGAGTGGATAAGTGAACCAATTAGACGAGAATACCCTCTTCTCCCCCAGACCACTCTATTTACTTCTTATTTCCAGTTTTCTCAATATCAAGAACAATTTTGATGGATTGATCAATTAATCATCAATTCAGTTACTATTTGGGCTAGGCTAAGTGTATTGTTTTGCGATAAAGTTTAAACCATATTAAAATGAATGAAAGAAAGGTAAACAATAGTATGTAATAAAGATGATAAGATGTATATAAATAGTATATAATATAATGGTAATGGGCAGAAGCACATGTTTACTTTGAAGTAAGGATTCCTACCTACGTGATTACATTCTATTCTGAGAAATAAAATTCAGGGGGTGGTGATGAGTGCTTGCAAAAATACTCAACATTAGAACGTGAATTTATATTTAAACATGAAGTACTTGCATCCCTTTTTATTTATCCAAAGGAAACACGGGCTAGAATGATTGAGATCCTCACACAGGTGCTCTAAATTGCTTGGGAAAGTTTGGGAACGTCTTTTCTACTGGATTTCTGAAATATATTTATATTTCATAAAGCATTAAGTCAGAGTCCATGAATGTGAATCATCTTGTTTGAAACATGGTTCTGAAAATGCAAGGCTCACTCTTTTACTGGGCTTCAGATGCTAAGCGTGCTTTGTCTACAATTCCAGATCTCCTAGCCCCCACACTTCCACACTATGTGTGGGTTAAAATTGAGAAGGTATCATGAGATGGGCTGTTGGTGTGATTCTTCACAGTTAATACAGGTGAGCCAAGTGGGAGGAAGGCAAAGAGGTGAAATGAAAGGGAGAAGGGAAGAGAATGAATTAATTATAAATGAATGAATGAATGATTAAATGTGTCATTGGGAAAGCTCAAGGAGAGATGAGAACGTTTTAATTTGGTGGGGTTTGTAGCGAATCGAATCATCAAGTGAAAAAACAGTTAAGGCCAGATCATCAAAGATACTAATTTAAATTCTTTGAATTTTGATTTGATTTAGTAAAATTAGGGATTTATTGAGCATTTTTGAAAAGAGAATTGGCAATCAAACTAAGGTTTTAAGAAGGTAAATTTGGCAGTGTTTTATGGTACAGCTCCCATAGGAGGGTCATTGGGAGATGATATTGAAACATCCTAGAAATATTTTTGTCTATTATAAAAATTGCTGATGTTGTAATCTGTGTTTGCTAAATGGGAAGGGAGCTGCATCCTAGTATGATCCGTTGCCAGTCTGACTTTGTCTTCAGAGTTTTCAGATGTATTCCATAGTGTCTTTCCAACACCCTATTTTCTTTCCCCGTGCCCTCCGTAGTTTTATTCTTTTCCTAGACATCACAATCTAAATCAAATCATTATCCAAATGACTAAACCAGAGCCTGGACATTGCTGTCAATTTCTCAGTTTTCTGGACGTTCATGAGCAAACTATTATTTCTATGTCTTAAATACATCTCTAATGGGTACCATGGGCTCCATCTTATTTCTGACTATAATTAGTCTAAACCTCATCGTCTATCAGAATTTTATTTGTTTTATTCCTGTTCCCCATCTACATCTGACAGACACACACATATACATACATGATAGATTTGTATAGGATAGTATATGCATATGTCATATGCAGTATGACATACAGGTATGATACACACACCTGTGTAATGTATAGATATTATTCACGCATAATAACATATCATTTACCCACTTAAAGCATTTATTTTCCTGTAGGTAAATCCAACTTCTTTCCTGTGATCCTGAGGACCCAGTTAAGGGGCCCTGAGGATCTCTTCAGTTTTATATCTTTGATTTATTCCTATATACAGGGCCATTTCTCATGCTGGCCTCCATTTCTCTTCCTCATCAACAGGAGACTTACCTGACTGATTCAATGGGTTTTATTTCCTTCATATTATTGCTTCTAGCTATTTTCCATTTTATGATAAAAATTTTTGTTTGTTAATTAACTTCTAGTTTGTCTCAACCACCAATTACAGATCTCCTGAGGGAAGGAAGAAATCATTTTTGTTTGCTACTCTTTACGTCCACCTGGGCTTCTGCACAGGACGGTGTTCATTGCATCCTGCACACACTGAACCGCCAATGAATGACCCAGCGCGTGACTGATGAGGAAATCAAGGGGCTGTGTGCTGTCCAGCAGGCTTCCTTAGACAAAGTTATCCACAAGGTATGATAGTACACTAATTCTCCATAACCCTCCTAAACCTTGATATTTTAAATTATTATTTGAGAATTAAATACATAATACAATGAAATACGATCATATCCACATCTCATTTCCTCCTCACACATCCCCCCATTACCTTTCTACCCCATCTGTTCCAAACTACATTTCTTCTTCTTCTTCTTCTTCTTCTTCTTCTTCTTCTTCTTCTTTTTTTTTTTTAAATCAACTGCTGTACTCATATGTACATGGGTGTGGGGCCAGTTTTGACAGTGGCCACACCCTCAAGAAGAATGAGCCTCACTTCACCAGCAGCTGTCAACTGCCAGGAACTTCTCCGTAGGGGTGGAGCCTGAAGAGCACCTTCTCTATCCATTCCAGAAATCTGGTTGCAAAGCCTTAACCTGAAATGCCTAGAAGCATCCAAGATATGAACAATGCTACAATGGTCATTTCAAGCTGCTGAAGGTCATGCCAAGGAAGGGATGTATGCTACTTTGCCAGCTTCTTCCTTACCCTGGTGGTCTTCAATGTCCTGAAAGTTGTCCCCTAGAGAATGGGAGGCTGATGGATCCAGAGCACAAACCTAGAAGGCATCTCATGAACATTTCACGTATTTTCCTTACTTAAGATTTTCAGTCTTACTGCAGTTAATGCTAACTTCATTTTTAGAAGTTGGATATGAGCTGTGTGGATTGCTTTGGTTGGTTTGTTTAATACAACTTCCAGTTAATACTAAGTGAGCATCTTTTCATACTATTGCACAGTGTTGTTTAGGTTTTAAAGTGTACTTGAGGTAATGTTAGGACTTGATGTAATGATGGGAGTGGTATTCTACTCAACTCATTTACAAACAGGGATCAAAGGCTAAGAAGACTTTCATGGAAGAAGGTAGGCAATGATTAAAACAGAGCACACATACTAAAAGTAAAAATAGTTATATAAATCAAAATAGCAAATGAGAATATATATTATGTATATCAAAGTAATTCTATAAATCCAAATGACAAATGAAACTCCAGGGGAATATGGGATGAAAGTCTGTGTGTACTGATAAACATATGTGTATTATATAGTTCTGTTGTATATTTATATATAAATCACATATATGCACATATATGTTGTACATGCATATATTGTATATTATGCATATTGTGTTATATACATGTATATATAGGCAGGCACACACACATACACACACACACACACACACACACACACACACACACACACATATATATAATGTTCCACTGAACTCTGGTCCCTGTGATATGTGGATTTTGGATTGAACTCTCCCACAATGTGGCAATAACCCACCAAAGATGTCAACTGTTTCAGAATCAAGTGACATCCCATTTTTTTTGTCTGTTAAAACAACTACAAGCTTTTTTCTTTTTCTAAAATATTTATTTATTTATTATGTATACAGTGTGCCTGCAGGCCAGAGGAGGGCACCAGATCTCATTACAGATGGTTGTGAGCCACCATGTGGTTGCTGGGAATTGAACTCAGAACCTTCGGAAGAGCAGCCAGTGCTCTTAACCTCTGAGTCATCTCTCCAGGCCCAACAACAAGCTTTTTGAATACATACAAAAGAAAGATTTTTTTTGTTGTTGTTTAAGCAGGTAGACATTTCCCCAGTGGTGAAGGACTGACCAAAGCTAAAGAGGAACCACACAGGCAAAATCCTTAAAGAAAAAAAACTACACTCTACACATTTGGCTACCACGGCAGATATGAAAATCAATGGCTGCATGCCTGTAATCCCAGCACTCATGAGGCTGAGCCAGGACGATGAACATGAGCTTCAGGACAGTCAAGACTACACAGTGAGATCCTGTCTCAAACAGACAAAATGGAAAACCAAGTAAAAACCAGCAGGGTGGCGCAGGGGACTACTGACAAGAGTCTATTAGCAAACAGCTGGACTTGGGTTGGGGTTGTGTGGTGTCACAGTCCACTCAGGAAAACTGAGGGTCTGTGTGTGTGCTCATAGAGACACGCTGTTCTGTATGCTCAAGGCGAAGCACCGAGTGAGACTACCTCTGGCAGATGTGCTGCGTCTACAACAGCAAGCTCCTCAACAGCCTTTTTCTTTTGAAAACAGTTATAGTGTGGTATTTGAAGGAGCGTGGGGAGTTTTCATTTTGATCAATAGTTTTTAGGCTGTGGAAATTTGTTCTCAAGAACAGAGGTTTTGATAGGCAAAGAAATAAATGACTGCAAAAGCCGTCTTTATTCAGGTGGGAAAGTTGAATGCTGTGTCCTGATCTGTTGAGAAAAACTGTACACTGTGATGTGATAAAGTCATACATGTTTAGGTGAAAATATAGTACTCATCTGAAAAAGAATTAGAAGTAGTTTACTCTGCAGACAAATATGAACCACCATGACCTCAGAATACAGATTCGTCCAACACCACATGTCAGCATGGAAATAGTTTCATGAGGTTTCTATAGATACTGACCAATAGGATGTTGTAAATCAAGACAGTTTTCAAGTTCGTCAGTGAAATTGTCAGGTAGGTGGGTGACCACGGTCGGAGGCAACCTTGGCTCTGTCTCAGATGCTGTCCGATGACATTCTTAGGCTTCGTGTCTTGGGAGCTGGTTATCTGTTAAGTTAGTACTCTACAAAGAGATTTACTTGATAGTCACAAGTATGCTAGGTCAGACAGAGAGGCAGACAACGAATGGCTCTTAAGGGAACTAATGAGGGCCCCGGATAGTTTGCCTCTGGGTCTGCAATGTTCTAATTCTTCACAATCATGAAATTCTGATCACTTGATAAGTCTTGTAGAGCTTTTATACAGAGGTGTGGATTTTATGGGAGTTTTAGCTCACATCTTTGAGTGTTTTTTAAAAACAATATTTGAGTAAAGAAATGACTCACTAAGCAGCATATTTTACAGACAAATATTTTACTTTTAATGGGGAACTTATTTACATAAACATGTTCTGAAGCAAATACATTCCTTCATACTGTTGGTAAAGTCAACAAAAATGATTCTGTAGTATTAGGTGGCTCAAGAATGTTACAATTTGTTTTAGCTTGAAATATCACCTCCAAATTAGTGCTAGTTTTTACTATTGAAGAAAAAATATCATAATTCATTAAAGCGACCAAAATCTGATATACAAATATCTCAACTATGAAGATTCTGACTCTTGTCAGCTGAGACGACTTTTTCACTACTCAGAGAAATAAATCATGGAAGTCTTACTGGGACTATGTATACACCACATCTCAGTGTTGCTGCAGACCATATACAAATACTTTATAGAGCCATATCACTCAAAATGAGGATTAAGAATGTGGTTACCATGATGTCCTACATAACTCACGTGTCTAACTTTTGAGTATGACAGGCCTTCAATTCAGCTTCTTTCCAACTCTGTAAATGATTTTTGCTTCAAGTTATTTTACATTACCTGTATCCATGGACATGTTCATGTTGAGTGTGTCTATCTAGCTGACAGTCATCAGTTAATGCCTCTCCAGAGGATCTGTGAGAAGTTTATGGTTGCCAGCTCTCTCTCTCTCTCTCTCTCTCTCTCTCTCTCTCTCTCTCTCTCTCTCTCTCTCTCTGTTATTCAGTGGTGTAAGCCACTGATAAATTACCCAAGCTCTAAAAATGACTTCTTGCCCATGCTCTTGTATGTAACCCTATTTAAACTCATTGACTCCTCAAAAATGACAACCCTCCAAATATTCATAAAGCTAGGATCTCCATATTACAATACATACCCTAGTGATGAGGCTAGAAAACTGCCATGGCCCTCAGAAGTGTAATATAATTTTCAAATGTGAGCCACAATCATAATCATAATCAGATCTGGGTGTGCAGGTCTCATTCAGGTAACCACAGCTGCTAAGAATTTAAGTGCAACAGTCACATCACACCCAGAAGACAGAACTCTACAACACTTGCACACCTTTCTCTGACTCTTACATTTTCCATCCTTCTTTTATTCAACATTCCCTGTGCCTTGACATAGACGTCCCATTTGGGACAGGTGAGTCAACAATTGTTTATTCTCAGAGATTTTCCCAGTTACGAGTCTCTTTAGTCCCCGCTGCACCTAATAGGTTTTGAAAATAAAATGGAAAGAATTGCTGAATGATTACATAATTAAGAGCGTTCAATGTGAACAACACATGCCTGTCGTAGCGATGAGCTCCGGGACGCAGAGGTAAAAACACAAGCTCATAGATTCAGGGAAAATGGTCACTGCTACAGGAAGCAGCTGTGCAACTTTGCAGAGGCAAGTTATATTGATAAACAGATGGAAGATGAGGTAACTTGACCTCCAACCTGAACAGACACAGAAAGTCTCTAAATGTGAACTCTAAATGTGCAGTACTTTTTTGTAGTGACTATTTCTTTGCATATATCAGCTTTTATTTGTTTTTTTTTCCCATAAAATAAACTGTTTATTTGATAAAGTAGCTACAGAGGTGAGTGGTGATTACCTGGAATTATAGTTCTAATTCCAAAAACCCTTAGCCTCCCTGCTCAGCCATTGTTAAACAGGAATAATGTGCAGATTTTATGATAATGTGCTATTCTGTTTGCCAGCAGAGGGCGCTGCACACTGACGGTCCACAATGGCCACAGCTCCTCCGGTGCCCCGAAGTTTCACCATCTATTCAGACGTGTTTCTGTGTGCTTTGCTAACTCTGTTTCAGACTCCAGCACATGCCCAACATTTAAAGATGATTGTGAAGAGATTTAACTGATGATATAATTTTCTCTATGTATAATGAAAATACCTATTTGCACACCCATTTCTGCATTGCTTTGAATATAGCTAGATTGCTTAAGAGAAGTCAACATGACTTGCTTATGTAACTCAGCACGGCCTCTAAATTATTTCTGTAAATTGGTTTTATTATGTGGTTTAATTCTCATCCCCATATAAAAGATTAAAAATTAATTCCTAATTCACATTTTCAAACACTGACACAGACATTATTGTTCATATAACAAACTGTGGTCATGTCTATTTGTTTTCAAAGATATATTATTGTACACCTCCATATGTATTTGAGAATGTGAAAGCATAATCCCCACCACCATTTTCCCACTAACAAACCTGGAAGGCATGTTTTTGACTTTGTTCTTGGTGAAACATGGAAATATGAAACTCCTTCCTTAGCACGGCTGAATTGTAAATTAATGCACAGGATTTCTTCAATCTAAGGAACAATCTCAACTGAGCCTCAGAAATGCTACTAATTTGGCTTGCCATGGCTGATTGATGAGACAAAAATATAAATTTGTCACATTTACAGTTAAGACATTTACCAGCCACCAAGGTCCCAAGTATATGAATACAGCTGAAAACACACTCAAGGTTTCTCACCAGGGAACCCCTCAAGAGAATTTTTGTATGCAAAATCCCTCATCCCCATGGCTGTAATCTGTGTTCTGATAATGTTTTATGAGTTAATCAAGTACGTTTAATGACAATATTTAATGATAATTTGCGTCATGGTCCTGTTAAATGCATGAATGATGCTGCAGCAGGTGTTGTGTGGAACCAAGAAGTCATGACACCCTCTGATGCTTTAATCAATGCTCAGTTTATTTAGGAATTTACTTAGGTTTATTGAATGGCATAAAAGGTGGGTAGTTTTATGAGTGAGGCAGGGCCTAATTAATGCTATTAAATATTACCGTGGAATCTCTCAGGAGAAATAGTTCCATTCTGCATAGTGCTGAATAACAGCTCTGCAGTGTGTGGAGGCTGAAAAATAGGACGTGCCATTATTTTAGACAAATTCATGATTTATTCTTTAAACCTGGAAGGCAACTTAACTTTTTCCCTTGGTTTCATTGCCATGAGCAGCTAGCTGGGTACCGGTGGACGGCCTTCCTCGCATGTCTGCAGTGCCCTCTAGTGACCATGCATCTGTGCTCTCTGCTTCTGGCTTGGGAGCCTTCTGCTTTCCTTCTTGCTTTGGGGGAGGCTTTTAGAATAAGAATTGCATGGATTTAAACACTAAGAAGATCA